ATATATATATACACACACACACACATATATATATATATATATACACACACACACATGTATGTTGTGTGTATGTATGTGAGAGATGTGTTTGTATATACATGCATATATGTGACCCTGGAGCACAAAACTGAAAATAGGCTCATTTTACAACTCCCCTAGAGTTAAACAGTTGAGTTTTACCGGTTTCGAATTCAGCCGACCGATCTCCGGGTCTGGCGGTAGCACTTTTAGCTGTAGCTTAGCATAGATCATTGAATCTGATTAGACCGTTAGCATCTCGCTCAAAAATGACCAAAGAGTATCTATATTTTTCCTATTTAAAACTTGACTCTTCTGTAGTTACATCGTGTACTAAGACCGACGAAAAATGAAAAGTTGTGATTTTAGAGGCCGATATGGCTAGGAACTATACTCTCATTCCCGCGTAATAATCAAGAAACTTTGCTGCCGTACCATGGGTGCAGCAGGCAATGATATTACACAGCGCCTGAAAATAGGCTAACTTCTGCCAACGTGACCACCTGCTTGCACAGGGAGCGTGCTGGGGACTATTTTCAGGCGCTGCGTAATATCATTGACACTTATGACTGGTTTTGTGGTCCAGGGTCACATATATAAACACAAGTACTAAAAGAATTGTTGATGGAATTGTTCAGGAAGCAAAATCAAATCCACAAACACTGCGTCAGAGGGGAGTTTTTGTTTTGGGTTCATTCTGTGGCTGTCTCTCTCCTGCAGTTTGAAAGACAGGACGCTGGAAGCTGAACTGCAGGAAGCGGCTGCTCCGCTGACAGGAAGACGCCTGCTGGAGTTTGAGACGTCTCAGGAGCTGAACCGGAGACGAGCGAGCGAGAGACAGACGGACCGAGAGGAGGAAGAGCGCTGGAGCAAAGGAGAGCTGGACAAGAAGGCTGCGGTCTCGTATCAGTTCAGGTGAGATGACTGTCCAGAATCACACACTCAGACCTGGTCAGTGTGTGTGAGCCTGCGTTTGTCCTTCAGGAATCAGAGCGGTGTGTTCAGTGACGTCAAAGACCTGCTCCTGGAGGACATAGACAGATACTTCTCTGACTGCAGACAGTTCAACCGCTCCGAGTCCGTCAGGTCAGTGCGTCCTGAACAAATACACCATCATTATAGCCCTTATCTCCAACTTGAGTCAGTCCATCTCATCTCGTTTTCATCATTTACTGATCCACACTTAATCACAATGTTGTTGCATGTAACTACAGTAAATCAATCATCTGATCAATTTTAAAGACACTACCACTGAAAGCTTAGGTTACCATTCTCATACGTGACCCTGGAGCACAAAACCAGCCATAAGGGTCAATATTGTGAAATGTTGAGATTTCATCTGAAAGCTGAATAAATATAAATATGTCCATGCATTGATGTATGGTTTGTTAGGATAGGACGATATTTGGCCGAGATACAACTATTTGAAAATCTGGAATCTGAGGGTGCAAAAAAATCTAAATATTGAGAAAATCATCTTTAAAGTTGTTCAAATGAAGTTCTTAGCAATGCATATTACTAATCAAAAATTAAGTTTGAACATATTTACAGTAGGAAATGTATTAAATATCCCCATGGAACATGATCTTTAATTAATATCCTAATGATTTTTGGCATAAAAGAGAAATTGATAATTTTGACCCATACAATGTATTGTTGGCTATTGCTACAAATATACCCCAGCGACTTCAGACTGCTTTTGTGCTGCAGGGTCACATATTAAATAAAATATTTTTTTTATCAAATTACTATTCTAAAATAGTGATACCAAAGAATGAGTGGGTGTGTCCAGACTTTTCATTAAAGTAATATGTTGAATTCTTTTTTTAATTTCCCTTTTTCGTTTTTTTCTTTCATTCTTTTTAAGGGACAGTACATTTTACGCTTTCACACCTAAGACGAATCGATTGGTTCAGAGTGCTTTACTCTCTCTGTTTCTGCGTCAGGTTGGCGGATGAGCTGCGTGGATGGGTCCAGCGGCATCAGATCAACCGGAAGTCTGATGGAAAGGCGAAGGTTGTGAAGAAGACTAAAATAGCTCAGGTGTGAAACCACAGCTGCTCTGTGACTCTGCAAGCTTTCTCGTATCATACAGACTCAGTGCTGTGCATTGCATACCACTCCCCTCAGAGCATCACAATCCAGTGCAGTTCCCTCTTATTGTTGTTCAGTAAGTAGAGCAGCGTTTGTTGCATGGCTCTACGTTTGAAGTAAAACAGAGATGAGCTGCCCTACTTTGACACATTAGTGTAATCCACACAGGATTTGCTTTGTTTATACTAGTGCTGTCAAAATATTAATCGCGATTAATCGCATTCAAAATAAAAGTTTTTGTTAACATAATATGTGCGTACTGTGTATATTTATTATGTATATATAAATACACACATGCATTTATATTATATATAAGAAAATGTTATGTTTATATATTAAATATATGTATAAATAATATAAATTATATGAATAGACATATGCATGTAAATATTTTCAAAATATATACATGCATGTGTGTGTATTTATATATACATAATAAATATACACAGTACACGCACTTATATTATGTAAACATAAGCTTTTATTTTGGATGCGATTAATCGTTTGACAGCATTAGTTTATACGTGTTCTTTCCCTCTCATCAGCAGAAAGCTCAGCACAGAAAGACAAACTTCTCCAGGTACCTTCCAATTCAGGCTCATCGCTCCATCGAAAGGTAACCACAGAGCCTCGGAGTAAAACAAGTGCTGGAAATGTTTTATTTGATTAATAAGTTCATGGTCTGTCCTGGCAGTCAGCTGCAGGTGCTGCCCGGGCCGGAGATCAGCTACAGCGACTTTCTGGATGCTATCGACCGGCGCGAGGACACTTTCTATGTGGTGTCATTCAGACGGGTAAGAGAGCAGGATAAGCACAGAAAGAGCGCACTCATCTCACACTCACTCACTCACTCACTCTCATCCCTGACTCCTGCAGGATCACCTGCTGTTACCGGCCATCAGCCACAATAAAACCACTCGGCCCAAGATGTCTCTGGTCATGCCTGCCATGGCCATCAACGGTGAGTTTAATCGGTCGCTTCACCCAAAGATGAATATCATTTATGGTATTTATAGGTGTTTTGAAACATGTCTCATGCAGTGAAAGTCCATGAGGTTCAGTGTAAGGCTGCACAAGTAAGCAAGAGTCACTGCACCCCCTTCAGCCGTGATTTATTCACAATACAGCACGGCCTCGAGTACCTTACTGCTTTTATAAAACGGTTACCACACAATAAAAAATATTAAAACCAAAAATGTATGTATTGAAATGTTACTTTTTTTGAAGCAAGTTCGTTAAATGCTGTCCTTCCGCTAATAAATAGTTCCTGACACATCAACACATCTCTGCATGAGAAGTGTTTATTAGACGGGGGAAGGGCGTGGTCTCAAAATTAAAGATGAAAGATGCAACATAACGCCAGCAGGGGTCACTCATACTTCATTAAATAAATAACAAACAGTTGATTCTGCCGAAATACATAATACTTGAAACAGTTCTGATGCTATATTATTGATTGTTTATGTTGCTAAGGGTGTTGCTCAGTGATACACAGAACCGTTGGGTGATAGCCGTGCTGTATCGTGAATAAAACACAGCTGCTGTCCAATCAGAATCCAGGAATGGAACTAACCGTTTTATAATGATGGTTAAACGCTTGGGGCCCTATCTTACACCCGGCACGACACAAGTGTTTTCTGTGCTAGTTTCAGCCCGACGCAGTTATCATTTTCGCATCCTGCGCCACGTTGTTTAAATACAGTTGAGTTCAAAAGTTTACACCCCCCGTTCAGAATCTGCAAACTGTTAATTTTCATACAAAATGCATGTTATTGTTTATTTAGTACTGACCTGAATAAGATATTTCACACAAAAGATGTTTACATATAGTCCACAAACTAAACGATCTGAAATCGTTCCCAATGCAAGATAACGAAACGTTTCCAGGATAAATAAGCAGCGGGCCGATGATTAGGCTTAAGAAATCAAGGGATGTAGAAATCGTGATGCAGCTCTAGTTGAGTGCTGTTTGGAATGACATGAGCGTGAGTAAATGATGAGTATGTGTTGTGTCCCGTGTGTGTGTGTGTAGATTCGGTGTATAACTCGTCTCAGGGCGGCTATGAGAT